CACGGGGTTTCCCCAGGAGCCCTGGCTAGGGCCTGGGAGACAGCCCTGCAGCCCCTGCTCTAGCCACAAGGCCTTAAGGCACTCACAGCCCCGCAGGACGGGAGAGCAGGTGGGAGGCCCATGGAGGGCCCTTCCTCCACGCTCCCTTCCCCTGGCGGTGTGGCAGAGAGAAAGCTCCACAGCCCGGCCGCGGTGGTGCAGCGGAGGCCCCAAGCTGGGCAAGGCTGGAAGCCATGTGGAAGACTGGGGTTTGGTTCCTGTACACACCGGGCACGTGTGCCCGTGACCCTGGCCGGCCCAGGCTGGCGGTGGATCGAGGCGTGAGAGCCTGTCGGGGATGCTTCCCGCGCTCGCTCATGAAAGCAAGCCATGAACTTGAAGAAAGAAAACTCTCATTATCCTGAAGTGTCGGCATCAGTCGCCGCTCTCGGAGCCAGAGCTCATGGCAAGACGACACACGAGGGCCGGCAGATGGTGGGGCCTCTCTGAGCGGAGCCTCAAAGGTCACCGTCTGTCACCGCCTGCCTGCGGCTCCAGCCTCTTCCGCCTCGCACTCCCTTGTGCTGACTGCAGCCCGGCGGCAAGCTGTGCGCTGGCATTTCCTGTGGGCTGACTGTGTGCCAGGTGCCGTGTGAGGCCTTCCGCAGACCTTCGCGCTTCTTCCCACACCTGGCCTAGGAGGCTGAGCCCATTTCTGTCCCCAACATACGAATGAGGAAACTGAGAAGGGGAGTTACGTAGCTTGTGGAAGCCCCACACTGCCCAGCTCTAGCGTCCAATTGTTTTTTTAGTTTGCCAGAGGGTGAGCATCCTCACCAGAGAGACAGAGAGATAGAGAGAGAAGGCCAAGAGAAAACTCCTCCACGGGGAATGGGCACGCCACAGTCTCTTCTCCTCCATCTCTGCTTCTGTTCAGGATTCTGGGCATGCACACACACATGCCCAGCGTGTTTCTCAAGCCACCTGGTCCAGGACTCCAACCACATGGTCGGCCATGTGAAATCCAGCCTCCCTAACCACCAGGTCACAGGCTGGCCCCAAAGTCCCAATTCTTTTGGGGGAGGAGGGGAAGGTTTTTGCTATAGGGCACATGTGCTCGCCAGAAAGACAAGAGACAGAGAGACAGAAAGTGAGAAATCACCCCCCAGGGGGGGATAACCACACCGCAATCCCTTCTCCTCCATTCTCCTCTCAGGATCTTGGGCACGCATGCACACGTGCCCAGCATGAGTTTAAGCCACTGGGTCCAGGACTCGAACTGCGTTCAACTGCATGGGAGTCCAGTGACGTAGCCATTATGCCAACTGCTGGTCCCTTTTATTTTTTCTTTAAGAAAGATTTTTGCTATAGGGCATGTGTGCTCACTGGAGACACAGAGAGAGACAGAGAGACAAAAAGTGAGAAATCACCCCCTAGAGGGAGGGCTACGCCATAATCCCTTCTCTTCCATTTTCCTCTTTTGGGAATTTTGAGCATGCATGCACATGTGCCCAGCATGAGTTTAAAGCTGCCAGGTCTGGGACTTGAACCACAGTCAACTACATGGGAGTCCAGCAATGTAACCATTACACCACCTGCTGGTCTCCAGTTCAGATTCTTAACCACAGCACTGTGCAGCCTCCCCATCTCCAAGCCTGTTTTCTCTCCTGAAAAATGAATGAGGGACTCAGATAAATTATTCCTGTGTCCCTCTGAGCTCTTACAGGTCCAGAATGTGGAAACTGCTTCCTTTAGGGCCCTACGGCCTATTCCTTCCCTCCCTACCAGTGACTGTTCTTGAGACAAGATTTGATTGGCTCATTCACACTACGGTGTACATGACTGACATGACGAGTGGAGGTGAGGTGGCTCTGGCAGAGCAGAACCCTGATAGCCTCCAGAACCGGGGCTGTCTGCATGACACAGCATCACAGAGGCCACATCGTCTGGGTTTAAAATCTCTCAAAGGCATTCTTCACACCTGTCATATTCCCTATGCCGGGACAATGGGCCGAAATGAGAAGGAAGGAGAGGGCGGGAGCTGGGAAGGCAGGGGTATAAGCTGTCAGGCTATGAATTCCCGGAGACCTCTAAGGAGTTCCCAAATGAGGCCTGAACTTGAGTCCCACTTTAGCAGTGTGTTTGGGCAGGTGGTCTGGAAGGAGCCAGGCCTGAGCCAGGGGACCTGGCCTCCCAGCCTGGCCGTCACATGATCAGGACTCAGTGTGCGCATCTGTAGAGCAGGGCATTGGCCCCTTCCGGTCTGACACTCGTGCATTGGCTGAGACGCTAAACCTGATGCACCCCAATTAGCATTTTCCAGGCAGGAAATCACCCCCATGACCCTAATCTCTTAGAGTATGGAAAAGTTATCAGGGCTACACAGGCCAAGATCCCAGCAGGCCATGCGTCCGGACGGGAGGGGGCAGGGCTGGGGCCACAGAGGTGCCCCTTCCTCGCCCTCTCCTTCCCCAGGCCCCAGCTCCTGACCTCCCTCCCCCAAGTGCAATCTTTTTGCCTTTCTAAATGGCTTTCAAGTTTCTCGCCCGGCCTCTCCTTTCTCAGTTTAATTATTGAAGAGGCCTCTTGTCGCCAGCCTGGAACATTAACGCTGTTAAAAGGGACCCAGGGAATGCAGGCCACAGCCTCTGGCCCCCTCCCCAGGGCACCCCTCTGCCCCACTCCTTCTCCACCTCCCAGTCCTGCCTCACACTCTGCACAGCCTGGGGGCTCCTGACTCCTGCGCCCCCCACCCCGGCCTGTGAGCTGAGGAGGCACAGGCCAAGCCCAGGCCACGCCAGGTGACCAGATGGGCAGGTAAGGGCACCGTGACATTCCCCATCCTGGCAGAGGTCAGCACAGAAGACAGCACATGCCCCCTGGGGCACCGAGCACCTCACCCAAAATTCTGGCGCTCCCACAAATGCACCTGCCGGCCTCACGCTGACTGCTCTTTGAGCTTTCGCCATGTGCCACCTGAGGGCTACCCAGGAGCCCCTCCACCTTCCTGCCAGTGGATCCTCACCCCCCTCTGGAGGACGAGAAGGCTCTCACGGTCACGGCTCCCAGGGCCACGCAGGCTGTTGTACCCTTTCTAAAGCGTCAGTCATAAAGCGTCTGCCAAGAAGCTCAGACAGGAGAACGCACACGCCACCTGCCCTGTGGTCTTCCTGGAGGTGGGGGGGCTATACCACCCTGACAGGTTTGTCACCCCCCAGGCCTGGGCCAGGCAGGTCGTGATGACTCAGCTGACCTAGCCCTCACCAGGCCCTGGCTGGGGACAGCCTGGCCCAGCTCCTCCTCCCCTCGGGTCTCACTTCTCACTGCAAAATTGGGTGTGAGGGGGGTCGGGGGCCTTGACCAGGCTACCCATTCCCAAACCGGCCTACTAGAGAACCCTGGAAGAGGACCAGGAGCGACACAGTCTCCCAGGGATTATTCAGATAACCCACTGCCAGAGCAAAACCTCCTTCAAGTCTCCTGCCCCACATTAAAACGATATACCAATCGCATGTTCTTCATAAAGCATCTATTAAAGTGTGTTTTCATCCAGATCGTCCAGGAAAACCAACACTCCAGGAAAAGGCCCATACTCAAGGAGCACGTGGCACCCACCCTGCACGCGTGGGTGGGGTCGCACATGCGCGGCAGTGCGGGGAGGCCCACAGTGGCCAAGACCAAATCCTGGCCCCCAGACCCAGCGCCAGCCACCCCTTCCTTCCCCTCACTTTCCACCACCTCCGCAGGTCCCTCACCCCACCCCAACCCCCAACAAGGACGGCCTCTCCATTCATCCCCACTTCTACCTCGGTCCCAGAAACACCAAGTCCGGATGCACCATGGGAGCCAGGCACATGGCAGCCTGAGAAGGCCCAGGTGAGAGGGATCCGGCCTCCGTTCTCCCACCTGCCAGGCACCGAGCAGCCCCTCCCAGTCCACTCCTCAGCTCTGCACACCAGGGACGGAAGGGGCCCAACTCCAGAGGCCCAGAAGCTGAGGCCCAGGGGAGGGAGGGCCCTGGCGCTTCCTCTGCCCTCGCCCATCCTCCCCACACACGCACAGACACTCACACGCACAGAGCAAACAAGGCAGGCTCCGAGAGAGGAGCGGGCACATAATTATTGGTAAAATGCTTGTAATGTTTTTCTCTCTACCCGGTAGCTTTCAGTTGTTTTAGCAGCTTAGCGAAGCACTTGGCTCCAATTGAATTGCAAATCAGCAGCTCTTGCCCCAGGAAGAGAGGGAGGGAAGGGAGGCGGCAGGGAGGGGGCAGGGAGGGATTCCAAAGGGAAGGGAGAAGGTGTGTGAGGAGGAAGGGCAGAAGGGAGGAAACGAGGGAGCTTGGTTCAGGGCCCGGAGCCCGAGAAACGAACCACCTGCCCCTGCCAGGTCTCAGTTTCCCCCTCCTTATCTGCATTCTCACAGCCCCGCAAGGCTCATGGCCCCACGGCCCATCCATAAAATGAGGATTCGATCTCTAACCGTAATCTTAGGGCCACGAGGGGCAGCCTCGACTACTCCAAAGAAAAGCAGCTCTTTCCCGGGAATCGCAATCGTTTGGAAACAATGTCAAGCAGAAGCCTAGCTTTTTCTCCCTAGCCACGTCCACCATTCGCTCCCGCTCTCTCTGTATCTGTCCGCCTTTCTCTCTATCTATCCATCAGCCTAGCTGCATCAGTCTGCCTGCCTCGCTCCTCCTGTCCTTCGCCGGTACTCCTGCGCTTCCTTTCACTTCCCGGTTCGGAATTCCCCCAGGAGGAGTGGAGTTGCTCGCCGAGCTCCCGCGACAGGTGCTGTTTCAGCACCACGGTCAGCGCCGCCGCGCTGCGTCCCTCCGGGCCGCCCTCACTCGGCAGTTCTACCCTCCAGCCCAGGACTGCCCCAAATTCCCGCACGCTGTTCCGAGGAGGAGTCTCTCCCGTGGCGTCCGGAAGGGAAGAGGAGAAAGGAGCTGGCTGGCCAGGCACCCTGGGGCACGGAGGGCTGGGAGGCCACTGGGGCCCACCGACCACCGCACTCACCTTGAAGAGGCGCAGAATGTTGGCCACCATGATGGAGACCGAGCTCCCGGAAGCACCGATGACACCCACCACGCGCTCGGGTTTGGTGATGATGGGCGGGCCGCCACTGCCACAGCGGACCTCCGTGCCATCCTTCTCGATGAGCGCCTGCACAAAGGTCAGGGACTGCTCCAGGGCGTGGGTGTCCCTGGAGCAGGTGTCCAGAATGCGGGCGCCCAGCGTGATGTTGGGCAGCAGGTCCGGGTCGTTGTTGATGCGATCCAGGGCAAAGAGCATGGCCTCCAGCCGGTGAATGCCCTTCTCCTTCTTCAGTTCTCCACAGGCCTTGCCCTCTGAGCCGCGGCCATGCACAGGGAACAGGCCTCCCAGAGTGATGTCCCCATCTATGCGGATGGAGTTCATGTGGGGGTGGCCCTTGGGCTTCCCCAGGGAGGAGGGCACCCAGGGGCCATAAAGGCTGAGGAGCAGGCAGAGGGGCAGCCGGGCCCACCAACAGCCCCAGCCTCTCTTCCCAGGCATCTCGAAGTCCTAGAGACCCATGAAGCGCAGGCAGCTCCTAGCCCCGGCAGGCCCCGGGCCCCACGGCCTGGGTGGGCAGGGGCGGGGCCGCCCCAGCAGGCG